TTTTGGACAAAAATGAAAATTCGTCGGCTTAAAAATTTTATGAATTAAAAATTCATATACAAATAAATTTTTTTTTAAATATATTTTAGTTTTTATTTATTTAATTTATTTTTTAATTAGTAAAATATATCTATTTTAAAAATTTTTTAAATATATTTTATTTTTGATTTATTTAATTTATTTTTTAATTAGTAAAATTTATCTATTTTTTGACTATTAATAATTAGTTATTTTTCACTATAATCAGGGTGTCTAACGGTTAGGGAAAAGTCAGGGAATTTTGTTGGTCAGGGAAATGTCAGGGAATTTCAAAAAATTTCATTCAAAGTCAGGGAAATTTCTGTAAATTTCTACAAAAATTAATATTTTCTGTGAATTTAAAAATTTTTTTAATCTAAAAAAACTTGAATGGTTTTTATTACCATTTGTTATTACCATTAGAAATTAATTTATTGTTAAATATGTCAATAACCATATTTTTGTCCAAAAAAAGCAGAAATAAAGTTATTAAAAAATCAGGGAAAAATAAAAAAATGTCAGGGAGGAGTCAGGGAATTTTTTTTCTCAATCCTTGTTAGACACCCTGATAATTATAAAGAAAAAAGTGAAAATTTACTATAATAATTTAACTAATTCAGATTTCGAGTGTTTATTTTTGTTCTGATATTTTGATAGTTGAACCGAATTTGTTTCTAATTGATTGAACAGTTGAAATACAATTTCAATGATCAATGACGCAGTTACTGTAAATTTCAATCGTATTTCAACAAGTCAATTAATGAGAAACGATGACAGGTTTCAGTGAAATTTAGAAAGAGAGAGTCACTAATTGCGTTTGATCAAAATTTTGTTAAACTCAGGAAAAATGTTTATTTTATTGAAACAATTATTTATTTTCCATTCCAAACAATTATAAATAAACAAAAAAAAAAGGATATTTTTTTAATTGAAAATAAAATTTAAAACATTTATGTAAATTAAATGAAAAAATTTATTTTTTTTATTTCTTTTTTTAATGAATATTTTCTTTAATTATAATTTTTTTCAGTTTAATGTTTGTTCAGTTTGTTTACGGATATTGATTTGAAATTTTTTTTTTATTTTTTTGAATGCATATCGAAAAACAAAAAAAGTGCAAGAAAAGAATAAATGCGCGCGCTTTAAGAATGTGATTATCGATGTGTTTGACCGTGATTTATAAGAGCCCATGAACCTCAATTTTTCACCTCGAGTCAATCCTATCAACGGCAACGTGACTGACTCGAAGGTGAAACAAGTCGGTGACTGGCAGATTGTGTTAAGAAGCACCGCACATGACTGGTGAATCCCGTAAAATGAGATACAGAATGAAAAAGAAGTTATTTAAATATATATATATAGGTTTACATTTATATAGTATTTTTTTGTCTTTTTTCCTTATAATGTTTCAATATAATGCATTCGCAAATATATATATTTAAGTACAATATATTCGTTTATACCTTCATTGAAAATCTTATTAAAATCACGTTGATATGTTATTTAATAGTATTATATTGTTGCAAGCTTAAAAAAATTTTTTTTTTTCATTTAAAATTATTGTATTTTTTTATTATCAGTGAAAAAAATACATGGAAAAAAAATCTTTGCCTGAAGTAGCGATAAGTTTCACTGGAACAGAGAAATGTTTCACTAAAGTAGCGAAAGTTTTTGCTATTCTAGAGAAACATGTTGCTGTTCCAGATAAATTTTCTTCCGTGTACTAATAATAATAATAAATAATAATAATAGTATACTAATAAAAATATTAACTACTGCTATAATAATAATATTGATACTGTTAATTATTATTATTATTTCTATTATTATTATTATTATTATCATTATTAATATTATTATTGATAATAATTATTTATAACTTTCTACAATATTTTAGTTTTAATTTTTCCCATATAAGATTTTAATTACATTTTTTATTCTTTATTAATAATCAATAGTATAATTAATATTTTTACTATATTGATAATTAAAATAAAATGAGATAATTTAATTTTAATTAATTAAAATCATTAAAGGTATTAATTATTATATTTATGAATGCATTATTATATATTTAATTACTTTTGTTGTATTCATTTTTTTTATTATTAATTTCATTGATTTAATAAATTTTATTAATAATAAACGTTGCATTTATTAATAAACATTTAATTTGTTAATAAATATTGAATTTTCTATTAAATGTTGCATTTTCTAATAAATGTTTAATTTTGTTAATAAATGTTTAATTTATTAATGAATATTTAATTTGTTAATAAATATTTTATTCGCAAATATGTACCTACACTGAAAAAAAAATTTATTTTATTCAAATAATCGGTTTCTTGACTATAATCAAATAAATATTTATTTGTTTATCAAATAATTATGGTATTTTTTCAAATACAAAAAAAATTATTGTTTCAAATAAAATTTATTTAATTCAAATAAAAATTATTTGGTTCAAATAAACATTTATTTAATAATAGTCAATTAATCGAATATTTGAATCAAATAAATTTTTTTTTTTAATAAATTTTTAATTTGTTGATAAATATTGAATTTATAAATAAATATTTAATTTGTTAATAAATATTTCATTTGTTATCAAATATGTATACTGAAAAAAAAATTTATTTGATTCAAATAATTAATTAATTTATTAGTAAATAAATATTTACTTGCAAAGCAAATAATTTTTTTATTTGAGTAATAATTAAAAATGGTATTTGTTTTAAATACATAAGTTATTGGTTCAAATACGGTTTATTTAATTTAAATTAAATTTGATTCAATTAAATATTTATTTAATAATAGTCAAGTAGCCGAGTATATTTGAATGAAATAAATTTTTTTTAGTATTATGAAGAAAATTTCCACAAACATATTTTGAAATAAATAAAAAATATTTACTATAATAATAAACAAAATAAATAAAATGAATAAAATAAATAAAATAAATAAAATAAATAAAATAAATAAAATAAATAAAATAAATAAAATAAATAAAATAAATAAAATAAATAAAATAAATAAATAAAATAATTAAATTAAATTAATAAAATAAATCAGAGAAATTAATAAAAAAAATAAATAAATAAAATATATAAGTACAAAAATATATATATTTGTATGTATATATTAGTTTTTTGCATTGTGTGATGGTAATTGGATAGAGTAGGGGAAGGAATGTGTATGTGTGACTGAAACGGGAAAAAATGTGAGTTGACGCAAGATTTTTTTGAAAAGGGTCGTGGCGCACGGGGTAAAAATGGCCGCGAACACAACGACGAAAGATTGTATATATATATAAATGAATGTGGCGCTCTAGAGCGTGTATATAAAAAGATATCGGGAATTCGCGCGCGTGGCACATCACAAATGCTATATATGAGAGAAACACGCAGTGTGTGCGCCGGCCGGCACAGCTTTCATTCATACTTTAGAGCCAACGGTGGCGACACTAAACGATATACCCACCTGCGCACACTCCTTTCCTAACAATATCATCCAGCCCACCCACTCGTGACCAAATCCCGCAATCCAACCCTCGTGTGTCCCTCTGTATCAAAGGAGTGAAAGAGAAAGATAGGATATTGCCAGTTTTATATATCATCCCGGAAAAGCGCGAAATTTTGCGAAAATATACGAGAGAGCGAGAGAGAGAGAGAGAAAAAAAAAGAGTAGAAATTGAGTCAACATCAGGGTGTCGATCGGTCTATGTGAAACGTCAGAGAATTTCATTAAATATTTACACACGAGAGAATCGAGAAATATAATGGACTTTTATTTTATATCGAGGAAATTAAAAAAAAATAATTTGAAAACAAAAAAAATTGTAGAGAAAAAAATGAAATAAAAAAAAATAATTGAAAAATTACTTCCAGAACAAAAAAGATATATTTTTGTCTCAGAGATAAATCAATATTTATATTTGTTTTATACAAATTTTTAATTGATTTAAATAAATTTTATTTGACTTAAATAAATTTTATTTTGCAAAAAAAAAAAATTTGTTTGGAGCAAATAAATATTTTTAACTTGAAAAAAATAAAAATTTGCGTTAAATAAATTTTTTTTTGAGTTAAATAAATTTTATTTGGCACAAATAAATATTTTTAACTTGAAAAAAAATAAAAATTTACGTTAAATAAATTTTATTTGCGTTAAGTAATTTTTTTTTTTTTTTAGTTAAATTTTATTTTGTGATAAATAAAATTTTATTTGTCACAATTAAACGCCAATAAAATATTTCTGATGGGTGTTAAATTCAATTAGTCCTTTTTTTTAATTTATTTTTTTGTATATTTAAACCATGACAAATATTTAATAAAATATTATTATTTAAAATTTTAATAATAAATAAATAAAAATAATATTAATATAGAAGATAGAAGATTTTATAATAACAAAAATTTAAGTAAAATAGTCAAAAGTGAGTCCGCTTAAAAAAAATAATAATACCAATATTTTTGGTGTTGTTTTGTAATTCGAAGTAGATAATCTAATCACAGTCAGACAAAAATTCAAATTTTAAGTAGAAAAGGTAGATGTCGGGCTGAGCATAACTTTTTCTACTTACAATAAGTAATTCGTCAGACATTTTTCTCTTTTAAGTAGAGAAAAAATTGTTGGTCAGACGAAATTATTCTTTTTTTCCAAAAAAAATTAGTTTTTTTTTCATTAATATATTAATAATAATATTATTATATTTTCAAAATATTTTATTATTTTCGAAAATTGTTTTTTTTATCATTTATTATTATACAATAAAAAAAATATCAATAGAAATAATTTTTTAAAAAAAAAATTATTACTATAATAAAACTGGTTAATTAAATAATTTAATGATATGCAGTATTTTTTTTAATTATTATATTTGAATATTGATGACTATAAATTTTCATTTTTTTCTTCTCGATTTTTGTGTTGATATATATATTTTTGAGATTTGATTTCTAATTTTGTTACTTTGATTTTAGGTACTGGTGAATCGGGCAAATCAACGTTTATCAAACAGATGAGAATTATCCACGGTTCCGGATACTCGGACGAAGATAAGCGAGGGTTCATCAAATTGGTCTTTCAAAATATTTTCATGGCAATGCAGTCAATGATTCGTGCCATGGACCTCTTGAAAATCCAATACGGCGATTCTTCGAATATAGTAAGTGTTCTTTTTTTTTTAAAAAAACATTTTTCTCAAAAAAAAAAAAAATTAATTAATAAAACCATTTTTATTTATTATTTTTTTCAATAATTAATTGCTGAATAATTTTTATTTTTGAAATTATTTATTTTTTCATCTAAATTGTTTTTTGAAATACATTACTATTAAAATAATAATTTTATTTTTAATTTATATTTTTATTTTATTAATTATAATTATAATTAAATACTATTTGGGAATTTTATTTTACTAATTTTATTAATTGTTTAAATATAGGAAAAGGCAGAGCTCGTTCGCGCTGTAGACTTTGAAACGGTAACGACATTTGAAAGCCCATATGTAGAAGCTATTAAGGATTTATGGGCAGATGCCGGTATTCAAGAATGTTACGACCGTAGACGAGAGTACCAACTTACAGACTCGGCTAAATAGTAAGTATATTTAAGAACTTTTTTTTTTTCAAAAACTATATTACTTATGGAGAAATTAATAATAACATTCTTTTCCTCACAGTCAGTTTCATTGAGAATAAGGGGTTTTTTTTTTCTTCTTTTAGTTTAAAGAAACGTAATATAATTAATAAAAATTTTTTTTTATTTCCAAAGATTTTGAAAAAAACAAATTTCAGGGTGTTCAGCTGTTAGGGAACTTTTTAAAAATTTGCCAAAAATGAATATTTTATGAATTTTTAAAAAAATTTTCTATGCAAGACATAGATAATAAATAAAATGTTTTTTATTATATTAAAAATATTTTAATATTTTTCAATTTTTTTTTTTTTAATATTAAATATTTATTAAAGAAAAGTGGGAAAAAGGGAATTTTTTTTTGTACCTGGACACCATGAATTTATATTTATCGATAAAATTTATGATTTGAATTTTCACATTTTATAATTTTCAAAAAGCTAATTTTTATTTAACAAAATTTCGTATTCAAAATCTAATTTTTTTATAACAGATTTTTTTGGGAAATAAGTTTCTTTTAAAATTTTTGTTTTTTTTATCTTAGGAGAAAAATAATTATTTTTGACTGATTATTTTCTCTATAGTAGAAAAAAAAAATTGTGAAAGTAATGCGTTACTCGGAAAAAAATTCTCTTTTTTCTATATAGTTACGGTAACATATTACTTTCAAAGGAATAGAGTGGAAAAAAAAATATTCCCCATGCTAACAATAACATTTTACAGTTATCTAATGGAGATAGATCGAGTTGCAGCACCAAGTTACCTCCCCACAGAACAGGACATTCTTCGCGTAAGAGTGCCCACTACCGGTATAATTGAATATCCCTTTGACTTGGAAGAAATTCGATTTAGGTACGTGGATTATCAAAATCCAAAAAAAAAAAAAAAGAATGAAGCTGTCTGCACGTTTGCAATCTCTCATTGGGCCTTCGTCGAATATTGTTTCGCATCCGCAACTGTTTTTCTTTTTTTATTATTCTTAATCTCATCACTTTTCAAGTGTGTGACTAATCTTTTTTTTTTATAGACATCCTTTGAGATAATTGTGTTCTTTTACACTTTTTTGAAAATATGACAAAATGCAGTCGACATTATTTTTAAAATATGACAAATTGAAAATTAAATATTTTTTTTTGAATACTTTAAATTGTAAATAATTATCTTAATAGAAATTTACAATTAAATAATTTTAAAAAGGATAAAAATAATTTAAATAATTTTAAAAAAATGGGTTTAAAAGGACATTGATCTCAAAGCGTGACTTACCAATTTACAGGCAATCTCAATATACAGAGGATGAGAGCATGATTGTACGGCATTGTTGTTGTTTTATTATTTTGTGTTAAGTGTACTCTTGATTAAAAAAAAAAAAAAATTTTTTTGCATGGCATGCATTACGAAGATGGTGGCTTAATTTTTGTTTGCAGTTATATTAGTGACCTAGCACGTATCGAGGCGCCTGATTACCTGCCTACCGAGCAAGACATTCTTCGTGCTCGAGCCCCCACTACAGGCATTATAGAATATCCATTTGATCTGGACTCCATCATATTTAGGTACTAACATGTGTCATCAATTTTTTTTTGTCTTTTTTTTCCATAATTTCATCCACTTAAAAAAAATCCACAAACAGTTCGCTAATAAACTACAATATCTAGTGGATCTGGATTTCATCTCACATCTCGGTAACATTTAATTGTATTCTTCTTTTTTTCATCAAGAACATAAAAAATTGTCCTTTTTTAAATTAATTTGATTTATATCAAATTATATAATTATTTAATCATTAATTATTATTGTTCAAATTATTTTAAAATCTCTTTTTTATTTCGAAACAAAATAATTTTTTCAATTAGAAAAATTTGAATTTCCAAAATTGTTTTTGATTTGTGTTTTTAATGTCTTTTCATGTTTACTGCTTTTTAAATATTGAAACGATTCCTCATTAAGGGGAAGCAAAATTTATTGCATGTGATTTTAAGTGTTTTGCTTGGTCTTGGGAATGAAAAAAATGTATTTAATTTAAGGAAAAATAGAATACTTTTTCATAAATATTAATTTTTTTTTTTATTTTACTCATTATTTTTATTTGTTTATTAATATTTTTTTACTTACGTATTTAATTTGTTTTTATTTTCATTTCTTATTCATTTGTTTTTTTTTAAATCTTTTTCTTTTTTTTTAGAAATATCTGTGTGGGGAAATAAAATTTTTATTGATCTTTTACAGGATGGTTGACGTCGGTGGACAGAGATCAGAAAGAAGAAAATGGATCCACTGTTTCGAAAATGTGACTTCCATTATATTTTTAGTAGCGTTAAGTGAATACGATCAAATTTTGTTTGAATCTGAAAACGAGGTGAGAATAATATTTTATTATTTCAATAAATTAAAAAAAAACAATTGAGAATAAATTAAAAATATGAAATTTAATTTAATATACATTAATTTAATTATTTAAATTTAATATTATTTATTTAATTATTTATTTAATGAATAAATTTTATTTTACAGAATCGAATGGAAGAAAGTAAGGCATTATTCAAAACAATTATAACATATCCCTGGTTTCAACATTCTTCCGTAATTCTCTTCTTAAACAAAAAGGATCTGCTTGAAGAAAAAATAATGTATTCCCATCTTGTCGACTATTTCCCTGAATATGATGGTAAGTTTCACAAAAAGAATTAATACTTTATTACGCTAAAAAAAAAGTATATAGGAAATTTTTATTTTTTTTCGTCCTTAAGAATTGGGAGGAAAAATTTATCATAAAATTTAGTTTAATAGGACAATTTATTTTATCCATGGCAATTAATTTACTTGAATATTCTTTTCTTTTTTTTTTTATTTCGTATAAAAATACTACCTCAGACTCGAAAAAAAAAATCAATTTTTTACACTGATCTCGAAAGTCTTGGAAATTTATTGTAATTGAAATTTTTTCTATTTTGATTATTTTATTTTTGAAATTTTGTTATTTTATATTAAAACTTCAGTAATTTTTATTTAAAAAAAAAACATCTATTCATAATTTTTTTTTCTTTTTCTAATTTTACGTGATTTTATTCTTAAAATTCTTTTGTATTAAAAATTTGATAATTTTCATTATAAAAATAATTGTACGAGTCTGTTGTATTTAATAATTAAAGACGAAATATATTTTGATTATTCGACTGAGAAGTTTTCCTATATAGGGCCTAAACAGTCACCTCCACCAGCCATGGAGTATATTTTAAAGGTGTATCTCAGTTCGAATCCCGATCCTGATCGTCAATGCTACTCTCATTTTACAACAGCGACAGGTCTGTTTCAAGTAGGACACGCAAAAATTCCCCTTGCCCTTTTTTTTCAAAAAATTTGACAAATCCCGTTTGTGCTAGAATTTTGAAAAAAAAAAATTTCTTGTCAATATTTGTGAATTTGCATACAAAATAAGAATTGATTTTATATTTTTCATTCAATAATAATGAAATAAGTTCAGTTTTTTTTTTGTTTGTTTAATAATAATAATAGTTTTCCCTTTTGTAATTGTTAAAATATAAAAAAAATTAAAAAATTTTTTTTCTTTCACAATTGCAAGTGCGAAAAAAAAGAAAATACAAAATTAAAGTAATATAATTAACATACATTAAATTAAAATTATTCTGTAAAGAATTTAATACTATTAGCTGTTATATAATTTTGAAAGAAGATTTTTTTTTTAAATATTTGGTAATACTTTTTTTAAGTAAAGTATTTTTTAAATGTTTTCATTTTAATACAAGGATTTATAAAAAAAAAAAGAATATAATTTATTCCAGTGTTTGCAAATTCTCAAATGTAGAGCTAGTTGTGTGCTAAAATTGATCGTTTAGTAAAATTGCAGCAAAGAATTCATGTTACAAGTAAAAAAAAAAAAAAAGTAAAAAACTCCATTTTTAAATAAATTCATTACATTCATTTTTTATATATCATTTTGGTAGCAAATAAATAAAAAAGTATAGTTTAAACGACGTCCTGGTCATTATATAAGGGCATCTATATAGCTTGTTAACTTTGCTTTGAAAAGGCTTCCACCGATTTAGTCTTTAATACGATAATTTGACCTTGTAAAGCATATTGGATTGGCTTAAATTATGCCATAATTCCAATATGACTGAAACTACTTCCCTTTTTGGTCCCTTTGGCCCTCCACCCCTTTTTTAAAAAAAAAAAATTCTTAACAATTTCTTTGATCTGTCGACTTAAAAAAAAATGTTTTTATCATAAAACTCCGTAATATAAATAAATTAACATAAATAACAGTGATACACACTCATTAATTCATGTTTTCCATTTTTTTTTTCTTTAAATATTTTTGGTTTTGTTCTCAAATTTTTAATTTTGTTTTTACATTGTTTTGTGTCTTGTTTTTAGGGAATTTTTTATATTTTATTTTAAAGATTTTTTTTTTTTTATTAACTTTTAAGAATAATTTGTTTAGTGTCTAAAAAAAGAGGTATACAAAATTTCGCGACATGTGAACTAATTTTTTTTTTTCTTTTTTTTGAAATTGTATTATTGCTTTTATTCTGTACGCTTGATATGTATTTCCCAGGACCACAAAGAGACGCAACAGCAGCTAGAGAATTCATACTCAGGATGTTTGTTGACTTAAATCCAGATAGTGAAAAGATTATTTATTCCCACTTCACATGCGCCACAGGTAGGTTCCTTGCTAGTCTTTCTTAAATGCCATAATGCTCAGCACAATTATCCTTTTGCTTTGTTTGTTGCTTTAATTTGAAAGTAGTGATCCTGCATGATTTTTTTTTTATTCATCTATATTTCTAAACTTTAACTGATACAAAAAATCAATTTTTTTTAATCTTCCGCTAATAATGATTAATTATTATTAATTTTTAAATAATAATTAATAATTTTATTTGTCGTCTCACAACGGGAAATTAAAAAAAAGGAAGAATTTTTGAAAAATATGAAAGTGGATTATTTTTACACTTTCAAGAACAAAAAAAAAAAAAACAATAGAAATTGTTTCAAATTTCTTTTTTTTCATGAAAAATTAGAAATTTCTTTAACAATTTTCCATTTTTAGAAGGAATGACAAATTTTTGTTTTAATTTTGCATGCTGCATACACGGGATCGCAAAATAGACACAGAGAATATTAAACTTGTGTTTTGTGCCGTAAAGGATACTATAATGCAAACTGCTCTTAAAGAATTTAATCTTGCTTAAATTATTCTATTAAAAAAACGATTTTTTCACAAATCGTCCGAGATTTTTTCTCTAATTTATCGAATTATTTTTATTTTATCAATTTTTTTTTTTTGCCCTTGCAAATATTTTATTTTCCTTTTTTTCTTTGTGGTTAATTATTATACGCGAAAATTTTTTTTTCCCCTATTCACTATAGCGAAGAAAATATAAATATATTTACGAAAAATCATTACTATCGTGTTAAGTTTTTATCTATATAGAGAGAAATTTATTTGCAACAATGGCTTGAAAAAAATATTTTACGTATTATAAAGTAATTTAAAAAAAAAAATGAATTTAATTATCGGAAAATGTGTTTTAATGACAGGATAATATTTATCATAAGAACATTAACAGTGATTGAAAATAAAATCATTTTTGCACAAAACGTCTCGATTTGATGTTTCGATCGTTTTCAATTGTGTCGATGTTATGATTTATTAATCAATTACTCAATAAAATTATTGTTTGAAAGTTTTTCCCGAATTTGTAAATTTTTTTTTTCAATGGAGGTTCATTTTTTTCTACTTTTTAATTCATTTTATAGTTTTGTTTTTTATTTTCCATTGGTGATGTTTATTGCAGCTGAAATGCGATTTTTCTGTTAAGTACATTTTTCATTAATTTTTAACGTTACAATTTGTTTAACTAACATTTATTTATTATAATTTTTATTACTAACATTCATTATGCTTTACAATTGATAATATAAGTGGCATGTGGTTTTTCTTTTTCATTTCACGGAAGGAATTCTTGCACTAAGACATGAAAAATGTCATTGCATGTGTTAATTGTTTAAATATCAGGTGAGTTTTTAATTTTTAATGCTTATTAAATTTTAATTATTATCAAATCTATATTTTGAACTGACAAATATTTTCACAAGAATGTGAATAAAAAATTTTATTTTTTCTTTTAAATGCCAAATAGTTGAATATAAAATTAATTATTTAATTTTTAAGTACGAGAATAATAAAATTCACATATTTGTTGACAGATACGGAAAACATAAGATTTGTGTTTGCGGCCGTGAAGGATACAATCTTGCAATCAAATTTAAAGGAATACAATTTGGTTTAGAAATTGTTCTATTAAAGAATTCGAAATGGATTCGACTGTTTTTTCTGTAAGCCTGAGACCAGAGCACGGAGCTTGTGGACTTTGTTTAAACAAGAAAGAGAAAAGAAAGAAAGTTGAAAATACTGGGAACGAAGAAAACAAAGTACCGAAGGGGGAATCACGTGGGAAACAAATAACTGCTCGTGTTGATTGTTCGACGGCGAATTAAGTCATCTCAACACGAGTGCACCAAAACTTTTTAGGTAGATAGGTATGTGCGATGGAAATTCCAGCGACAAAAAACAAAAACAAAAAAAAAAAAAAAAACATAGACCTAAAAAATCTTGAGCGTTATACGTTCTTTCCTAAAACAAAAAAAAAAAACCTTTTTCATTGTCGATACCAACAAACTGATTTAGTTTCATACTCTATTTGTTGAATTTGTTACCTTTTTATAGCTTAGCCTAGTCGATTCGAACTCGGCTGACTGTGAAATCGCCTGATTTTTATAATAACGATATAAAGTAAAAAAAATGAAAAAGCAAAAAAATATAAACGAAAAGCAAAAAAACAAAAAAAAAAATACAAATTTAAAAAAAAAAACAAAAAATCACGAACAAGTAAACTTTTACGAAGCACAAGCGTGGTTTTTGTCACGCCGGTGCCCCATGTCTGTCCAAAATGTGTGTTTCAAAGACGAACGATCTCAACGACGAGAACATTTCCAAGTGAAACGTATATAAGAAAAAAAAAAGGAGAACAAAAGCTTTTTAATTCACAAGTAGTCGGAGACACAAGTGAGAGCAATTCTAGTGCCATTTACTAGTGTGGTGTTTTTATTGCAGTCCTTTGTTAGATGCAAAAAGCCAAAGTGTTTTTTTAATCTGTGCCAGAAATGACTAAGAGTTCTTTCTGCATGTGACTCAAATTCACGATTCATCGTATAAATATTGTTATATATAATATATAAAGAATGAAAACAAAAAAAAAAAAAAATTTGAAACCTAGAATAGCGTCGAAGAAGTACGTCGGCAAAAAAAAAATGATAAAAATGCAAAAAAAAATGAAAGAAAAGAAAAATAAGAAAAACGCTCCTCAGACCCGTCTTTTACAATACAGCAAGAAAAAAAAAATATTAGGAAACAACATCTGTTTTTGATGTAAGTTTTTTAGGTAAAAAAAAAAATATAAATTATCAGGAGGCGGGAGTAAGCAGGCTTCCCTGCCTCTTTCACCTCCGAAGCCAGTGCACGGAATGCGAGGGCTTCAAAACATTTTCCATTTTTTCTTTTATTATAATTTTTATTAGGTGTTTCCATATAGCGAAAACAAATTCAGTCCATCTTCAATAATTACTAGAAAAAAAATTCGAATTTACATTCTCTACGAATTATCATTTTTCAAAATGTTTTTTTTTTTTTCTTTAAAACTATTTTACAGAGAATTTTCTTCATCAAATTGTTTTTCTTTTTACAAGAAGAAATTGCTTCCGAAAATTGTTTTTACATAAAAAGGCTTCCAAATCAGGAAATAATTCCCGAAAATCACTTTTATAGCTGAATATATTCTAAAATCATTTTTTTACACGAAAAAAAAATAGCTTCAGAAGAGATAATTTTTTATAGAAAAATACGATCCGAAAATTATTTTGTGGGATATATAGGAAAAATGTTCAATAACATTGTTAGATTATCTAGAAAATCGATTTTTCGTTTTTTTTTCTCAAAAAATTCCTTTTACAGGAAATTCCAAATTTCTTCCAAATATCGTTTTAGGCAAATTTTCCAAAAAAAAAAAAAATTTTCCTTGCTCGAAAAAGGAAATTTACTATCCAAACACTATTTTCATCTTCCTTTAATCTGCTTGCAAAAAATTCGTCTTCTTAATTCTAAATTAGCTATTTTTTTTACATAGAAAATTTTGTGGGTTTATTCCATGATTTTCTTTAAAAAAAAAAAAAAAAAAATTTACTAAATGTTTCCTGGTTCTTTTTCTTTTCTTTTTCTTTTTTCTAGAAGAAAAAGTTCGTTCCGTTTCTCATGTTTATTGACATTACTAAAACAGTACGAACTTTTACATTAAACACGATATTTATTTAATTTAGGATTTTCTTATACTTTCAAAGAAAAGAAGAAAGAAAGAAAAACCTGGACGCCCATTTAGTTTAGAAAGGAAAGAAAAACGCGGAAAAGGTAGACTGATTAAATACTGAAGTTAATCGATTTTTTCTTTGCAATGTGATACTAGTTATTGGGAGCATCTTAAACGTCCCAGAGAAGACGAGTCTGCAAGGCGTGAACAAAATTGTGAAAATCAAAAAAAAAAAAAAAAAAAAAATTTCCGACTATTTTATTCATAAAAACAAAAAAATATACGTCGCTTTGTGGTGCATTTTTTTTTTTTTTTTTTTTTTCTACGTAAAACGCGAGAGTGAATTTGAAATCATCTTTGCGTATTGCCTTAAAAATTTGATTTTTTTTCGAAGAAAAAAAACTTGTTTTTTACTTTTTCTTCCATTTTACGATAACTGAATAAAAAAAAAATTTTATTTCAATGTTGCGGTTTTTTTAGGACAGAAAATAAAAATTTCTTAAATGATAGAAATGTTTTTTTAGAGATATAATCTTTTTTTTTTTTTGTAAAAAAAATTTGAAATGAGTGATATTTAAAAAAATAATTTTTAGTTTTGCTTCTATAGCAATAAAAATGTGCATTTTTAGTTTAATATTCTTCAAAGGAAAAAAAAAATTGGAATTTTATATTTATTTTCGCTTTGTTTCTAACTTTTTTTTTTTAACATTATTTCTTTTAGATTTTTTAATCATTTTTTTTTTCGTCAATTTATAGTTTAAGTTTATCGCGAAAGGCAGCTTTTATTTTTTTTCCCCCTTGGAAATGCGTGATTTTTCTTTTAAGTTAAATTTGAAAAAAAAGTGTGTATATTAGTTTTTTTTTTTTCGTTTCACCTGAATAATCACTTTGTGTGATTTCTCCATAAAAAATTGGAATTGAAAAAGAAAGAAAGAAAAAAAAACGCAATGACAGGAATTGAAACTGTATAATTTAGACAGATTGAAAATAAAAATATTTATTTATAGAATTTTTGCGTGTCTACGCAACAAATCCAGTGAAAATGTATACTAAATAAGAGAAATGTTTTTTGTGGTAATTATTTAAAAATATATAAATATATATATATATATATACAAATAAAAATAGAATTAGTTTTGTTTCTATCGTATATACAAAAAAAAGGACTTTTGTACGGTTGTGTTCAAGAAAATAATGACGATTGGAAAGATTTCAAATTCACAATCGTTAAAATGGCATTTAAAAAAAAAAAAAAAAAGAATAAAATTAGACTTGGTAATTAATCCGCGAAGCGACGACCTAGTCGACGTCGTATCCGTTACTCTGTCGATGTAGCCCTCGCCTGTCGGCACACAATGAGAGCATCGCGTAACAAGTGACAGGAATTTCTTTTTTTTTTTTCAAATTTTCTTATTCTTGTTGCTTGCTCGCTTTGTCTCTTCATACCTTTAACGTATGTATGAACTGCTCACTGCCTGCGCTCGCTCATTTTGCTGGGCCAGCGCGCTGCCCAAGTGCCAGTGTTTCTTCAGTTTTTTGTAAAAAAAAAAAATAATAATAATAATAATAAATAAATAATGTACGCCGATTTCATTGTCTCTGCAAAATCACTCTCTCGTTTTTTACGTAAATTGAACGATTGACCATCCGGAGATGATGAATTCAGCTCCACACACAACTGCGTCCAAGAATCTGAAGAATACACTCGCATACCGGATTCCTTAAAAAAAAAAAAAAAAAAAAGGCAACGCAAAAATATATTTAGCCTTGGAAATCAAAATAAAATGTAATTCTATAATACACTGCATATTTTCAAGTTGAATGAATTTTTGCTCTTCAAAAAGAAAAAAGAATATTAATTTTTTTTTTTTTGAAGATTGCCCTTTTTACACGCACATAACCGGGCAGCATTTACGTCATACTTACCTTCGGTTGAATCACTGAGTTTATATTGGAAGAATACAAAATATATAAATGCATTGGATAAAGTATAATAATAAGAGGATAACAACAAATAATAATGAATAATTATATTACAGCTTGAATTTAAGAATGATGAAAGAGAGAGAGATTGAGTGTATGTACGTTTATTCAAAAGCAATGAAGGGTGATGGAAAATGTGCATTAATTTCTGAATGATTCGCCAAAAGAAAAAAAGAAAAAAATGTTTGAATGACAAAATAAAATTGTAGCGAGAAAAACAAAATGATAAAAAAAAAGTAATGTGTCAGGCAACGAGTAAGTTTGAGATTCTACAATATTTGCGAATTTGTGATTTTGAGTGTGTGAAATGGGGTTAAATGAAAAATAATTTTAACCGCGAAATACACCCAAAAAAAAAAAAGAGAGAAAATTGTGAAAACGTAGAGTGAATGAGATGAAAAACAAACGCAAACTTTGTGGCTATACTTGATTTGTAAATCATTTCTTGTCAAAAAGTAACAGTTTTTTTCTGAAAGCGTAATATGTTGGGTATTCTTTCTGTGTGTAAAAATGTAAACACCTACAACAAAAAAAAAACCCACGATGAAATCAATGTTTCTAACTTATTTATAATAAATAATATACATTAATGATACAAAAAAAAAAAAAAAAAAAAAAAACAAAAATAAATAAACGCAGTTTTGCGATTAACATTAACGTTAAGCGATACTGAACCTATCCTCAATTTTTTTTTCTTTTTATATGTATAATTATTTTATTTTTTAAATATTTATAAAAATTTACAAAAAAAAGTTGTAATTTTTGGTAACTATATTTTTTTTACAGAATTTATTAATTATAGATATATTTATTTATTATAGTGAATATTTTTTTCCTTTATAAAAAAAATAAATTAACTTTTTTTTTCTTCTTTGCGTAAAATTCTAATCAAATTACAATAGAAGCTTATTGTCTTAAAAAAAAAATGACGAGTTTTTCATTTTGTGGAACAATTTCAATTCAACTTGAGACTAATTCTACAAAGAAGAAAATTACTGTAAGTTTATTGATTATTTTATGAATTTTGTGAATTTCTCGAAAAAATTTACGAGAATACAATTTTCTTTTTTTGTTTCATCTCTTACAGACTATATTTTTTTTTTTACGTTAAATTATGTTTTTCGTTTCAATCTATTTATTGTAAAATTGAAAATATTCGTGATCGTTAAAAAAAATTAATTTAATAAAAAAAATATTAAAAGAATATTTTTAATTTTATGAAATTAATTGAAATGAAAAAAATTTATAGAACTGTAGGAGATAAAACAAAAATTTTTTCTTTTTATTAATTTATTTTTCTTTTTCAGGAAAGAAGATGAGGCAAACAAAAGGAAAGTTTTGACGTTTTATTTCTTCTTCTATAATCAACTTTTGGTAATTTGTTGAGAATTTATTGATTTTTTTCCATGTTTTAAATAAGAATTAAATAAAAATAGTTTCATTGATCGTATTACAAATTTTCTAACTGAATATAGAAAAATAAGGGCAAATGTTAATTTTGATAAGGGATTTTTAAAGATTTTTTCCTCCCCTGTTAAATGTTATTAATTTTTATTAAAAAAAAAAATTAAAATTTGAATTTCATCCCCTTTTTTCGAAGAATTCAAATTTCTTTTCTTTCCTCAAAAATCTTATTTTCATCAATTATTTTTTTCAGGAGAATTTTTTTTTTTCAAGATTTGAAAATACCAAAATTGACGAGAGAAACAATCGTTGGGGGAGGATTTTGATGCCTTGAAAAAATTACCTCCCCTCACACCTATTATTCACCCTCGACGCTCCTGCAGTTTTGGCTTCAATGAAAAAAAAAAAAAGAGGGTTGGTTTGGTTACCAACCACGAAGTTATAAGGGAAAAGGAATCTTTACCTTCACAGTTTTTGTAATAATCATTGGAAGGGGATGTCTTTAGCGCAAGCGCTTTCAAAATTTCTATCTATGTCCCCCTTGGAGAAACGGATAATAGTTGTTCTTGGCTGCGAACGCTCTTTAATGCGCACCCTGCGACATATATAATACAAGAAAAAGGCGCATCCACCACACAGTTGGTTTCAAATATTGTACTCCGAAAGAGACCGAAGTCCTTGATGGGTGTCGCCCTGTTGACGAACTGAAAAAGACTGCACCCATATTTTCAAAGATCATCCCAAGAGGAACAGCAAATTTGACCTTCAACTTTCATCGAGAGAAATATATAGGCCTTTTCTTCATTCTTCATTAAATTCAAAGAGTTGGAAAGAAAAATGAATCTTCTCGAAGAAGAAGAAACTGACGAGTGAGTAATTCTATTCCTTTTTTTTTTTTTTTAATTATCAAAATTAAATGAAAGAAAATTCATAATTTTGGAAAATATTTCAATTCTTTGTTCATTAATACGAATTTAAAAAAAAAATATATTTAATTAGAATATTTTTTATTTCAATTTATTTTTAATTTGGATGTTATTTATTTTAATGTAAAGAAAATTAAATCAATGATTTTATGGAATTCGAGAATAATTGTATAAGCGAGGTACAAAAATAACATCTGTTTAGTCGATACTAATTTAAATATTCTTGAGGAACAAGAGGGTCGTTAATTCAAGAAAGTTACCTGATTTAATTAAAAACAAACTTTACTAGGTGTGGACTTTTTAATTTGAAAAAAAAAAATACAAATTTTTTCCGAAGAAAATATGTCACTGAGATTTTTTTTTCATATTACATTTTTTGTTTTGACTCTTTTTTTTTTGACAATACTAGATTAGAAGACACAAAATTTGTTTAGTGATATGATAAGACACTAAAATCCAATCTAATCTAATTAGTGATAAATGGTTTTTTTTTTTAGGTCAAAATTTATTGATTACATTCAAGGTTAATTAGTTAAAATAATTATTTGATTATAAATTCAAATTCACTGATTAATGAACTTTTTTAAATTTTATTTTTTAAAATTAAATCTAGTGAAAGAAATTAGTTCAGAGTGATTTTGTTTAAATGAAACGTTTTGGAGTGAAATCAATTCTTAGTAAAAGAAAATAAAAAGGTAATTGGATTTAAAAAGAAAAAAATTCGTTTCTAGTAATGTTTCTTGTATAAAAAAAAGCTATAGCGGTATTCCGTGGAGACTTGTAATTTTAATTTTTTTTTTTTTTTTTTTGTTTCAAAACCCGCAATTATTTTGCGATGATTCCCCTAACTTCTTGTTTCATTTCTCTTGAAATCCATTCACTCGAGGGTAAATCTAACTTTCATTCTTACATTTCTCATTAATTTTATTAATTTCAAAAATTTAATTAACTGAATTAAATACTAAATTAATAATTGTGGAATAATGATTTATTTGGCCTAATGAAAATTTGTTAAATAATAATAATAATAGTAATAATAAAATAATAAACAATATTGATTTTGTACATTTTTTTCAGAATGTTTTCTTTATGTAAAATAAAAAATTTGAATTTATTTATTACTTAATAATATTTGATATAAGAATTAAGATGACTGCAGTGTTGAACAGTAGGCGATCGATGAAACTGTTATTATAGACGACATAGATTATTATATATACACATTCATAGAATCGTATTGTATAGTTTTCAAAAGTCTTATCTGACATTTTTCTAATACATATTATCTACATTAAAGGATTAAAAATTTTTTTTTTTGCATTTAATAAATAGAAATTTATTTTTTTCCAAAACAATAAAATTAATAATTATTGGTATAAAATTTAATGATCACAATATTAAATAAAAAATTTAAATACGAAAATTTTTAGTGTCTTTGTATTATTATTGTGGTCATTAAATTTATATGAATCATAATTATAAATTATTTTTAATATTATTAATTTTATTATTTTCATTATTATTATTATTTAATAATAATATTTTATTTTCTAAAAATATTCAATTTTTCTCAATAATTCAGTATTCAGTGATATATTATTATTAATATTAATATTAATTATTAATATTAATTTTATTAAATTAATTATATTATTAATTTATTAATTATAATTATTATACGTATAGTAAATTTATTTTTTGTTTTTTCTTTGCGAAAATAAAATATTTGCACATTTTTGTAATTATGTCAAATTTCTAAATTTATGTAAAATTCAGTCTGACAGGGATAAATTCTTTATTGGAAAAACTTTCATGTCACTTCTTTATTTAATTATAAATTCAATCAATTACTTATATAGAAACGGCTGTTGATTTTGTGTTTTTTTTTCCTAAACAATGACGTTCACTATATGTATATATTTGAATTTTTTAAAAATAATTGACCTTTATTTTTTCTTTTAATTTTTACCACACACTATATAAATATAATTATATTTTTTTTTCTCTTTTAATTTTGATTACACAATAAATATTTTTTAATTTTTACATGAATAATAAAATTCAAATTTTATTAATTAAATTTAATTGAAAAATATTTTTAATTTCCGTTTTTATATTATCATTGGCAAAACAATAAAATTGTTAATTTCTTCTGTGAAATTATTTTATTATTATTATTTTTTTTTTTGAGTTTTTTCAAGCATCAGAAAGTTATTTAATCCGGAGACCAATTGTACAATTTGCATCGATATCCAATAATTGACTAAAGACGGTACATTATAAGTTTACAGGAAATTTTATTCAATTTATTTTCAAGCTTGTGAATTTAATTTTATATTAGAATTCTAATTGAAAAATGTTTTTTTTCTTTTTTTTGAGAATTTACTATTTTTTTAGTTTAAAATTGTCTTTTAAACAAAATAATGAAGAAAATAGAAATTATTTATAAAATTATTTAAAATAAAAATTTAAAAATAGAAATTTAATATAAGGCAGAATAGTAATCAACAAATGAGGTAGAAAGTTACAAGAAACAGTAATTTAACTTTTCATAGTTAACTTTTTTATAGTCCATTTAACTTCACGAGAGTAAAATTTAAAAAAAATTATTTTTCTCTAAAATGATATTCAAAGATTATTATTTTTTTTTCATTATTTATTAATGTAATTTTATATTTTCTTTTTTATATTTAAATTATTTATAATTTAGTAATAAATTTTGATTGATCAGTGGTAAAAATTAATTTTAATAAAAGCATAATTCAGTAAAAGTGTGATAAAATTTTTAAATTAAATAATAAATGTTTCTATTATGAAAAAAAAATAACAAAAATTTAATTTACCAAAAAAACAACTTTTAACAATAAATTAATTTTAAAATTGAATTTTTTTTTCTAACTCTATTATAAAAATTATATGATGGGAAATTTAAACATTTTTTTTAGAGATATATTTCTCTTTCAATTTTTTTCAAATTTTATACCGCACCTGATATTTTAATAGAGAATAGTTCGGAGAAGAAGTGAAAAGAATATTTTAAAGGGTACATTGCATCTGATGAACAGACGGAATGCAGTCTGTGTATATATATATATATATATATATATATATGTTAGTTTGTCAGCTGCCAGACGAAAATGTGGTAGTAAGCTGGCAAACCGTGAACTGGTAAGTTGGTGGGACGAAAGCTTATAAAAGGTTTTACTCCTAACAACCCAAGTTTATTACAAGACAGTTATTCAACTTTATAATACACCAAAAAAAATTATAATCCAATCAATCGCAAAAGTTTATTTTAAACACGCGAATTATTCTCAATTTAAATTATTTATTGTGCGTGTTAAATAATTTTGTTCATTGTGTGTACCATATTATATTTATATGACATCATATACATATATATTGTGTTTGTGAATTTAAATAGTAAATAATAATTAAAATTGGATCCAGTTAATTATAGTTTTGTAAAATTATTAAATATTTTTGTTAAATATTTGTTTTAAAAAAATTTCTATAAATTTTGTCTATAATATTGACATTTAATAAAATGCCGGAATGTACATGTGATTATAAGAGAGTTGAAGGTGAAGACAATCACGAGTGTCAGTTAAAACTTCCAATGGAAAAGGTCCTTGAACACAAAATAAACAAGGAACGTCCCATTGATGAACAAAATCCACTTAGGTACAATAATTATTTATTTTTGGATTTATATTAAAGTTGTAAATATATTTAAAAAAAATAATTTCATCTGTATTTAAAAATTTTTTTTTTGTTATATTTAAAGTTATTTGGTTCAAAGAATAATTAAAAGGGAAATTAATTTTTTTTTTAATTTCTACTTTCTACAGGTAAAAAAAATGTCAGTGTTAAATGAAATTAATTATAGAAGTAAATGGTAAATTTTTCAACAAAAGAGAATGTTCATTTTTTTATTGATTACTTTAACTTTTTTTTTCAATTAAAATTAATTTAGTTGAAATTTTGAAAATTTTGTTACTACTCGAAAAAATCTATTTCTATTATTTTTCACATATATTTTTTATTTTGATTCAAATTATTTACTTGGTTTTTTCTGTTGGTTTAGTGAAATAAAAATTGTGCTATATGGAATTTCCTTTTTTGTGGGGAAAAATGGAATGCTTGAACAGGTTCCCATGATCCTGAATAAATATTAAAATATTGTAAACAAAACATGTTTACGCATTTCTTATGTAAGAATTATATTTTCGAAACAGGTTTTTTTTTTCGAAAATTGATCATAAAAATGGAAAAACACACTTTTGAAAATAAAATGCATAGCCTCTTTTATTCGAAAGTTTTTTTTTTGTTTTTATAGATCAAGATTTTGTAACTTGTTTTTTACATTTAAAATCCGGCATTAAAAATAACAAATTTCTCTTCTATTTAGAAAAAAAGTCAATGATTTAACTGGCAGAATATAGAGAAGTGAAAGGACAAATTATTATTATATTCCAAATCATTCATGAATGACTTGGATTTTATTTAAATGACTTTTTATATCCTTTCAAATTTTTCTTTTCTTATTTTGAAATATAAATGAATAGAAAACGAAAAAAATTTTCAAAGAAAATTTTATTATTCAAAACATTATTTAAATTAAAATTGATGAAGGATTAAAAATTTTTGTTTATTTAACGATCTATATTTTTTATTTATCTTTTACTTTCTAAATATCACAGTGCTTATTCATAAAATTAATTTATATAGAAGATAATCTGCGCTTTTGGCAGAGATTTTGCAAGACTCCTGGTAGAATTTGCGTCAACAAAACAAATATTATATTTACTAAATAATTGAGAAATATGATGCAACTAGAAATTTATTTTTTGGAAATATATAGTTATTAATGAAAAAAAAAAACTACGAGAATTTTGAATTTTATTTAATTTTATTAATTATGTAATTTATAATCAATTATAAAGATATGAAGAATGAAAGAATGAAATTTTTAAAAGGTATCACATCAACTTGTGGTTCTTCTGTTTATTTCTCTATTTCGTAACTTTCATTATAGAGATTTTAAAAATTTTCCACTTGTTCTTTTTAAAGTTCAGTGACGAATTGATAACAACTAGTAAAAACAATATTAATTGATAAGAAAAATGCAATATGGGAAATGAATGAAAATTGAGAAAATTTAATTATAATTAAAATAACTTTTAATTAAATACCGTATGGAAAGAAAAAAAATTATTTTTTTAATTGTATTTTATTTTTTAGATATCGAGATGGATCTGTCAGACTCAGAAATCCAAATATTGAACTCATGGATCAAGATATCCTTTATCATTTGGCTCTTGGAAGTGGATCCCATGACCTAGTAGAAATGTTCGGAGATGTAAAGGTAAATTTTCTATTTTGTCACAGAATTTTCATTAAAAAAGAAAAAAAAATCAAATATCAAAAAAAAATCAAATATCAAAAAAAAATCTAAAATTTACAAATTTTTTCAATGAAAGAATTTTAAATATATAATTTTACAGTCTAAATTGAATTGATTAAATTGTTTTAGTTTGTGCTCTCAAAAAAGAGAAAAAAAAAAATGTTCATTTATAATCGTAAAATCTTGACCTTACATTTTTTAAAGATTAATTTTTTTCTCATGTATATAAAAATAATAATATGATAAAAAAAATCACTCTGAACGATATATGAATATTATAAAAATATGAGATTTATAAAACACGTGTTTAATTCAAATTAGATATTGCATCACGTCGATAATTGCTCTGACATAATCGATAACTTGTATAATAAATGTTCTTCTTGATTTGCCACAAGTAGCTGAATTGATGTTGATTATTATCGGACGATTGCATTTCTATATTTGAAATTTTTTTCTTTATTTGATAAAATTCAAATATGATGTCGATTAATGTCGACAGTTGAAAAGTACAAAAATATAAAACTTTTCTTTAATAGAAATATGGAAAACTAATTATATCAATTTTAATATGAAAACTATTTTTTTATTGAATAATTTTAACATTAAAAAATATTTTTCAATTTCTGAGGTTTTCTTTCAACTTTCCTAGAGTCTAAAAATAAAAAAAAAAAGAAGAAAATTTGTTAGATCAATATGATTTATAATTAGAAATTGAAAAATTCGGGAAAAAACATTCATTTCAAATTTGTTAAATCAATAAAATAGGAAATTTTTCTTAATAATAAATTATATTATTTATGAATGGAAATAGTGATAAATTTTTTAAAAAAACTTTATAAAAATTAATGAATATTGAAATTGATTATGAAAATAAAAATAGAAAAGAAAAAAACTTATTTGCAACTCCTTGAATGTTTTAGTTTGTGTGCATGGGAGGAACTCCCAAGCGAATGGAGCAGTTTGCTTTCTTCATCATGGAAGAAATAGGTCACAAACTTCCTGCAGGAACGACATTGCTCGACATCAGCCAGTATTCTTATCGTTATTCAATGTACAAAGTCGGTCCTGTACTTTCCATTAGTGTGAGTATACCTTGAATATTTCCATAAAAGATCATTCATATAAGAGGAATAAATAATTCAAAAACATTCAAATTCATTTATAAAAAGTTAGAAAAATAATTTTTTTTTTATCAATAAAACTTCGAAAATTTGTTTCTTTACTTTCTATTTGTTTTGACACTTTTTATTTATTGTATTTTTATTGTTTAAAACAAATTAAACCTTTTTTTTTATAATTGATAAAAAATTTTCAAAACCAACTTTTGATTAATTGAATAAATTTTTGTTTTAGAAAAAATTTTTTTAATATTTTTCTAATTTTATTATATTTAGCATGGAATGGGTATTCCATCGGTTGGAATTCTTCTACATGAAATTATTAAATTGATGTATCACGCAAGAGTCAAGGATCCTGTTTTCTTTCGACTTGGAACATGCGGTGGAATCGGCTTAGAACCAGGAACTGTCGTTGTCTCAGAAGAAGTTGTCGATGGAATGATGAATCCATATCTTGAATGTGTAAGAACTTATTTTTATTTTCTCTCAAAATACTGTTTTAATTTTTTTCTTGCAATTATTGAGAATATAGATTCAATTTTTTAAGAATTAATTTTTTTTTTATTTTAAACTAAATGAATAGTTTAAAAAATGTTCTTTTCTTTTTATTTCTAGCCAATTTTAGGGAAATTAGTTCGTAGACCAGCGAAATTGGATCGACAATTGGCACGTGAATTGAAAGCTCTCGCTCATCATGATGATCCTTACGACACTGTAGTTGGAAAAACAATGTGCTGCAGTGATTTTTACGAGGGACAAGGACGTTTGGATGGTGCATTCTGTGATTTTTCAGAAACAGAAAAAATGGAATATCTCACTCACGTTCACAGTAACAATGTTTTAAATATTGAGATGGAAAGTCTTGCCTTTGCTGCACTCACACATCACGCTGGAATTAAATCAGCAGTTGTTTGTGTTACAATGTTGGATCGACTTAAAGGCGATCAGGTAATTTTTTTTTGCTTTTTTTTTCAATATTATCTTCTTATTTTTTTTCTATCTCTTACACATCGTTATTTCTATCAATATGCAAAGTATTAATAATAAAAAATTAATAATAATTATAAAAATAATTAAACTAATGAAAAATTATTTAAAAAAATAAATATTTATTTATCAATTAAACGGGCAATGCCCATTTTTTATATTTTTTATTTTAAATATATACAAAAAAAAATAATAATATAAATTTGAATAGAATATTAATTTTCTTATAAAAAATTATATATTTTTTTTTCAATTAAATTTAGGTAAATTCTCCAAAGGAGGTTTTGGACGAATTGCAAAAACGACCTCAAACACTAATCGCTCGATATATAACAAGGCATTTACAACGAAAAGGTCGTTTCACGTCCTTAGACGGTCATGGTTCCATGTGTGTAAAAAGCCCACGACGATTTAAACTCGTTCAACAGGAATCTGAAAACTATGATTAAACAAAAAGTTCAGAAACCTTGTACATAATAAGGTTTCTCTTTCTATTTACACGTAAAGTAAACTAAAAAAAAAAGGAAAACCTTTTTGTTCTTTAGAACAATTTATCAAAAAATTTAACTAAAATAGTCCGCTTATATTCATTTCAGAGAAAAGGAAATTCCCATCTATCAGAAATTCTACCAAATTTTAAACGAAATAATTTATTCTTATAATACTAAAAAAAAAAAGAAAATTCCTCTTTCTCTATAAATTACAATTTTCTCATAATTTTTAATTTTCTCTTTTTTTGATAAAAGTTTAGAAAAACTTGTTTTAAAGTTAAAAAAAGGTTTTTTTCATTTAATAAGAGCTCTCTTCTTTCTTTTTAAATCAATTTTTAATTTATTTTAGCAATTTTTCTATTCACGTTCCATATACATATATTATGCATTATTTAGAAAAATGACGAATATTTTTAAATATATATATATAAAAATAGTTGCAAATAGAATTTAGCATGAATTACAAAGGAATCTTAGAAGAAGAAAAATTAGAATCCTATACTTTTGAAAAATGGTAAAATAACTTTTTTTGCCAATTTTTTCCAGTAAAGAAAAGAAAAGAAACTATCAGTATTGAATTTTATGTACTTTTTACAGTTCTTGTTCGTTATAACAATTTACAATGACAAAAAAAAAAAAAAAAAACCACCTGGAAGTGATTGTAGACGAATAGATATAAACATATATTATTCCTGTTAAAGAAAAAAAAGGAAGGAGATGGAAAAAAAAAATTGTTATTCTTCTTGTGCATGATTTTAAAATTTCGTGCTCATATTACGCGATGATCAAGTACAAAAAAAAAGTTATCCAGAATTTCTGAACATACTTTTTGAGATTGTAGAAAGAAGGAAAAAAAATTATAAAAAAAAGAGTTCAGAATGCAAACAAGACCACTCTTGGCTACATATCCAAATTATTGTATTTTGTAAAACGCTCAAACAAAAAAAAAAATTCATTAATAATCGAATCTTAAGGAAAAATTTTTGAAAAATCGTAAATTTTACAGAAATTCTCGATTATTTATTAATTAAATATCCATTTTGATAATATTTTTGAATGTTCCGAGATGAAAATTTAATTTTTAATTATTAATTATTATTATTTTTATTTTTTAATTTTTTTTTAATTCAATGTGAATTGAATTGATTTAAAATTTACATTTAAAACCAACTTGTTAAAAGAAATTATAATTCTTTTTTGTTCCCTTAATTATTTCTTTATGAATACACGACGATTGAAAGAACAAAAAAAAAAAAAAATAGTTGTAGAAAAAAAAAAAAATTAAATATCTATGAAAAGTTCCTTAATCATACATTCCGTGTAATTTTTATGAAAGAAATATGTGTTGTTTTAATCTTTGTCGTGCATGTGAGATATTTAATGAACAAAACATTGTGAAAAGCATATTTAAAGAGGTATTTTAATCATTTAATATAAGTATGTGTATATGTGTGATTTATATGAGTCTCAAAAATAAAAAAAAAGAAATAAAAGTAAACCTCATTTTTAAAAAAATTTAACCGGGTTTTTTTTTTTCATTTTTGTTAATGATAATTTAATTGAAAAAAAGGGAATTTTTTTCAAGATTTAACTAAATAAAATAAAATTTAAATGTTTGAATGAAATATTAGTTTATTGATATAAAATTTGTAATTTATTCCCAATATTTCGAAATTTAATTACTTTAATTGTGAGTTTAAGAAAAAATTCATTTTATCATTTTTAAATGTCAATGTTAATTGAGATAGAATACTTTTTATATACGACTTCCTTATTGTATGGTTGTTAAAGAGACTATTTAAAGAAGAAAAAAACTATTATAAACACTGCGTAGTAATCAGAGCGTACAGTTTCTGAAATAAAAACAAAATACATAAATATAAATTTTAAAAAATCCTCTTCATTCTATCTCTCTCTCTCTCTCTCTCTCTCTCTTTCACTTTTTAAAAGAAGAAACTGCAAATTTAATAATCGGTGCTACGTCACATTAATTAAAAATATATCCTAAAAAAAAATTCGCTTAAATAAGTTTACTTGGCCTAAAAAAAAAGTAAATTAATAGTATTTACTTGATAAATTCCTCAATTTTTTTAAACTTTCTATTCAAGTTCGATATTATTTTTATTAAATAGTTTTTGTACTTTTTATTAATTATTTAAGAATAACTCTCGTAAATTTTATAAGAATAAAAACACAATTTAATTGAGAGAAATTTTCAAAACTAATGAAATATCTAATTTAATACGAATTTTGATATTAGTTCAATTAATAAATTAAATTATTTATTTAATTAATTAATATATAAATAATTTAATTAATGTTCAATTAATTAATATATGTAATAAGTTAATAAAAAAAAACATATTGTGAAACTTTGAGATTTTAATGTTCGTGTTCTTTATCTTTTCTTTATAAAACAACGACATATCTGTGATGCATAATTGTTAAACAGCTATATAATAATGTATTTAGACACGAAATTGTTGAGAAAAATGAATTCTTCATAAATTATCATAATTATTAAGAGAAAAAAAAATTATTGCCTGTAAAAGTCGATTTTATTACACAATATATTACAAATATTGTATTTAATAATATAATTATAATAATAAACACATATGCTGTGTATTAAAAAAATAATTCTGTTCTATTAAAAGAAATAAAGATTACTACGCGTGTTAGCTATTGTTATAAACATCAGTTCATAAACTAAATAAGTGCTTTAACTTCAGCGATTAATTCGTTATTGTTAAACTTTGTAAAACCAAAAAAACAAAAAACATAAAAAAAAACCAAAAAAAAAAAAATATATTTAAAAATATTGACCGACATTACTGTACATTATTGTTGTGATCGCATTTGCAGCCAAGAGTAATTCAATTTAAAAAAAAAATATTTATGCTGTATCGAAAAATATGTCCTTTTACGAAATGCTACGAGTTATATATCTAAAAACAAAAAAATATTGTTGAATGTGCGTTACGTTATAAAAGGACAATAAAAAAAAAAAAAAAAAAAACTGCTTGACAGAATTATTGGAAGTTTATTATTTTTTAGTTAGTAGATCTTTTTTTTTTTTAATACACTGAGAAAAATTATACTGAGGAGAAAGATAATTAAATATTATATGAAATAAAAACGTGTCACCAAAGAATTTATTAAAAGTGGGCGTTGACTATGGATAAGATTCTTCAGTTGTGAACATGAATCATATGATTTAAGAATTCTCAGTAAGTTTTTAACCGTCAAGTATACTTCAGGGTAAAGTTATCGAAATTTTTCCTTTTGTTTTCTGTGATATAGAAATTATTTTGATAATGAATACAACTAATGAAATGAATGAAAATCAAAGGTAAAAAAAGTATTTTTTTTTTTAAATTTATTTTTAATATTGAAAAAAATTTACTATTATTAATTAATAATATAATTAATATATAATAATTTATTTATTTATATTTTCTAAATTTGTATTTTAAAATTTCTTTTTCTAAAATAGAAAAAATTTAAGAATTTCCTTTTTTATAGAAATGATAATGGTTTAATAAAACTACAAAATCCTTATGTGAAAAATTTAAAGAATGACGTTCTCTATCATCTTGGATTTGACACAAGTGTACATGATTTGAAGAAAATGTTTGGTGATGTTAAAGTAAAAACAAAAATTTTGAATAATTAATAATTTAAATAGAATGAAGGACAAATTTTCTTTTCATAATTATTTGATTGGAAAAAATTTTTTAAATTATTTAAATTCTCGCTTTAGAATATTATTTAATTTGTAAAAAAGAAAAAAACTGATAATATTTTTTCAAACATTTAATTTTGAAATTGAAATTTATCCTCCACTATAAATAATGATAAAAATTAATTTTAATGTAATATTTGAATTAAATTTTTAATTTACTAAAGGGAATGTAATTAATTTTAAATTTCAGTTTATTTGCACTGGTGGGACTGAGTGTAGAATGAAAGAATTTGCTTATTATGTCGAAAAAGAAATGTCCGACATGTTTGAAACTGAAACTAAAGTGATTGATTATTCAAAACATTCTCATCGTTATGCAATTTATAAAATAGGTCCAGTTCTATCAATAAGTGTAGGTATCTCTAATCAAAAAAAAAAAAATAATTGATTTAAATTGAAATTAATAATTGACTAAATTAAAATTTTTTCTTAATTAATTTTCTTGTGCGATTAAAAATTTTATTTCTTGTAAAATTTGGATAAAAATTATTATTTAAAAAAAATTGCAAGTTTAATGATCGATATATATAAATATGATTTTTATAATTATTTTTAGCATGGAATGGGAGTTCCTTCACTCAGTATTTTGTTAATAGAAATTTTTAAATTATTACATTATGCCGAAGCAAGGGATCCAATAATTTTTCGAATTGGCAGTAGTGGAGGTATTGGTGTAAAACCGGGAACTATTGTCATTACAAATGGTGCAGTTGATGAACTTTTGAGACCTGACTTCGAAACAGTAAATTTTAAAGCTAAAAATAATAATTCTACTCTAATTTAAAAATTATTTATAATTATTTATAATTTTTAATTATTTAAATTTCAAAGAAATTAATTTTATTTTCAAAAAAAAAAAAAGGCAGTCGCTGGTAAATTAGTCAAAAGACCTGCAATATTTGATCAAAATTTAGTAAAAGAATTGGAGGATCTCGCTCTTCCCAATGATGATTATGAAATAAAAGTGGGAAAAACAATGTGCGCCAATGATTTTTATGAAGGACAGGGTCGTCTTGATGGTGCTTTTTGTACATTTACCGAAAATGATCGTATGAATTATCTCAAAAAATTGCAAAATTGTGGAGTTTTAAATATTGAAATGGAATGTGTCTGCTTTGGGGCACTCACTCATTTTGCTAAAATTAAATCAGCAATTGTTTGTGTCACATTTTTAAATCGTCTTGAAGGCGATCAGGTAATAATTAACATTATATTATTCATTAAAAATAAATTATAATTCCATAATTAATTTAAAAAAAAAAAAAATTATTATGAAAAAATAATTAACTTCTATTTTTAAAAATAAGTACTTACATATATCGTTCCAGGTTCTCGAGCCAGTAGAAGTGCGACAAAATTTTGAAATGAGACCTCAAATTTTAATTGTTCGCTATTTACGAAAATGTCTTAAAAAAAACTTTTTCGTAAAAAAATAAGAATTTCGAATTCCTAAAACAATGTAAAAAAAAAATTGTATACTTGAAAATAAATATAGAAATAAAATTGAAATTTAATTAATTTATTTTCGATTTTAATTAATTCCTAACAAAGTTCCTAACAAAATAAATATTTTCAACTAAAGGCAAATTTTTGTTAAAAGGACGTGAATAATAAAAAGATTTGTATTTTTTTTTTAAATCGTATGATGCAGAGAATGCATTTATTTCTTAGGCCAATATACAAATAGCGGAAATACGACGATATTCGACGTCGTTTACCGTTATAATTGATGCACAATGATGAGTGCTAATAAAATGAATGTATAATATGTAAATATTACTAAGTATACACTGTATCTATTTATGTATATATATATATTTTTAACGATAGCGGATATTCAAAAATTACTTTTCAGATACGATAAAAAATACAATTATATTATACAAATGAGGTTCTTAAATGTTTACAATTTACAAAAATTCATGTTCGCTGATAATATTCTAATAAATTGTTACTTAATTATATTTTGCAACATATTAATATTAATCATCAATAATATATAATGAGTATTTAATAAATTAATGGTATTAATATATCAATAATTAATATTTAATTAAGTATTAATATATTAATTAAAGTAATTAAAATCCATTAATGCATTTTTCATTAAAAAAAAAAGAAAAGCAATTCAAAAATAAATAAATTTTCAAATATCAAAGAGCGCTTAAAATTGCTTTTCTTTGATAAAAATTTATCATTAAAATTTTTATTAAATGATAACGCACAGATTGTTCTTTTTTATATATAAAAAAAATAATATATAAAATAAAATTAAAATAAACTATATTATTTTTACATGGGAAGTGACCCAATTTCATAGTCTCACTCAAATAAACGGAAAAGAAAATCTGCATTATTTATACATTGCAATTTTTCTTTGCTTTTGAAAATAATATTCATTATTTTTCAATCGAACTCATTGATCTCACTGGAAGTGTAAATAAAGCTTTAATTTTCAAAGTATTGCAACGTGTGTGTCTGTGTGCGGACAAATTTTTATAATAATATCGTGAATGCAATAGTATTATGATAATTATTGACGATTATTACAATAATAATAATATTATTTATATTAATATTATTAATTATTAATATATTAATAATTACCAATAATTAAAATCGATATTATTAATATTGTTAAAAAAATGTGACATATTTTTGTTATTTATATTTGTATATCGAATACATCAGAATATTCTAAACTTAATCAGCCTCTTATAAAGATTCTACCTATTATATGTATAATTTTTCTTTTTAAATATGTATAATGTATACATATTGTATTTTTTTAAATAAAAATGGGAGAAAATTATTACATTTTAGCTGTCAATGAATTGTTATGAATATTGATCTTTGATTTACATAATTGATTCGTGAATATTAAAAAAAAAAAAAAAAAAAAAACAATATTATATATCCTTTTAAGTCTAGTTATTATGTATAATAATAATAATAATCATTAATAATTCTAGATATACGTACATCTTATAATAATTAATATCTATCATTTCTATCACAAAACTTAGCTAATTATTACGGCCGTCAACCGCATTGAGATAATCTTGAGATTGTAAGATAAAGAGAAGATCATACAATAATATCTTAATTTAAATTTTATAATAATTAAATAAATTTTAATTGTTATTAAAATAAAATATTGGAAATGTAAACATGTACTAAAAACTTATCGACTCGATATTATTTTAAGTCTTTTTTTGTTTTCTAAAGAATTTTATAATTTTAATAAAAACTTATATTTAAAAAAAAAATTGGTTTCATGTAAATGAGAAAAAAATAAATTTTTTAAAATTCATTTAAACTTAAATTAAAAAAAAAATGAATAAAATATATATGTAAAAAAAATAATATTAAAATTGATATTGTTAATATAAATGGAAATCGTTTTTTTTTCTGTTTTTAAAATAAAAGTCAAGGAATAAAAATTGAAGATTTACTGATAATGAGAATAACTTGAGCATGAATCGACGAGGTCGTGGAATTTTCATGTCGAAGCTTATATCTAGTTTAAAAAAAAAGAAATTTGCTAGTATGACGGCTTTTGGCACCAAATAAAGGTTCAAGGATCAATAACATTTTTATCTAATCTTTTTCTGTTTTTTTTTTTTCACTAAATGTTATGACAACTGTCTCATTAATGAAATATTAATTATTAATATTACTCCCATTTATTGCCTATAAATTTGTCGAAGCACTTGCGCGTTTCAAAATTTTCCTATTCCATTTATCACTTGTTTTTTTTTCTTTTTTTTCTTAATTCTTTGTCGAAATTTGTTTATTTAACCGTTATTATCAGATAATCTACGGGCTAATAACATCCGAGCATATAACATCAGACGATTACATAATGTGATATATTGTCCAACATTTCATATAATTCTAGCATCGGTGCTCTAAATTTAAATCCATTATTTTAATTTCCCCCTCGTCAAATGTCCACAGTTCAATTATAATTTCTAATATCTGATTAAATAATCGCTAAAATTATATAATAAATTTATCAAAAATTAATTATATATTTTTGCCCATGTGGAAATTGTTTTTTTTTTTTCAATTTCTGTGGACATTTAAAATCATCGCTGTTAAACAGACAGATGGAATATGCTTTTAAATATGAAACAGAAACCCCCCCCCCTTTTTTTTAGGAATTAAATTTCCATTCATCGTGAAAATATTCTAATCTCATTCGCTGTTTGACACGATTCCTTGACTATCTAATTATTCATATTATATAGGACTAGAATAAATATTCACCATCTGATCGGAAAAATAAAAAAAAAAAAAGATTAACAATGAACATATGAGAGAATAAAGATGATATGAAGAAATAATAAGAAAATTTGTTGTTATTTTTTTACATTTTTACAGGTGCTTTAAAAAAAAAAAATAAAATTCCGAACAGATAGTGAACAATGAGCATAATATGTAAGTAATAGATTAATATTAAGGCTAAATTGATCTCTTTTCATCATTATTTTTTTTTCTTTTTAATTGTAGTGAAAAGATAAAAGTCTCAAATTCGATGAACACCTCATAGAAAATAAATCATATAAAAACTTTTACCATCGTGCGTATTAATCAGTCAGTTCCATTCCTTGAGAAAAAAAAAATTCTTTCCTGAGATATTTTTTTTTAAATTCGCTGATTGTCACATCGGCGTGAAAAATTAATTATTCTTCACTCTTCTTTCTTTCTCATTAATTTTTTTTTTCAAAATTTCCCCCTTTTTTCCATATTCTCCATTAAACGGAGAAATAAGAAAGAAATCAAAAACCAGGAAGATTAGTTTTTATTCTTTCTGATTGTTATTGTAAATATAGAAATTTACAAATATTTCTTCTTCTTTTTTTTTTATTTTATTAATTAAATATAAAAAATCTATTAATGAGTCTTGTATTTTTTTTAATGAGGGGAGATTTTGATGAGATATTGAGAGAAAGAAGAGGGGTTTTTTTTTTTTTTTAAAAAAGAGAGGATTTTTGTCAGCGAATCGAGACTTTTTTTGTTTTAAATTAAAGGTTGATTTTTATCGCAACGATGAATGAAGCCGTGATGATGCTGCGGTCATCCAACGGTTTCTTCGGGAAGTATGATACTTACTGATTTACGATTTGACGAATTATTATTGCTTGTCACCAGGCCGGAAGGTGGTCGATGAGATGGTGCAACCACACGAACTTCCGGTCTTGGAGATGATGCTTCTCTTAATGGACTAGACAAATTTACCAGATCATCACTATTCGCTACGGATACTGGTCTGAAAAATTTGCAAAAAAAATTAATTAATCTCTATCAAAAAGAGGAATTATATTATTAAAAAATCGAAAATTATAAATTATTTTTGTTTTTTTTTTTCCCCTTACTTGTGTTGAGGTGGAGGTGTCGGAGTTCGTGAAAGAGGAAAACTGGCAACCTCTCTCGTTACTGATAATGAACGAATAGAACCAAATGTTTGATCCGGTGATAGATTAGCACCAACACTTTGCACCATTCCGCTACTGAAAGAAAACAAAAATATCATAAAAAATGTTCTTTTATTGGAATTTTTAAATTTTTTGCATTTAAACTATATATTTTTTCTATTTACAAGGGAAATATTTTGAAATACTACGATAAATAAAACAAAAAAATTTACATATTCATGACAAAATTTAAAATTGCAATGTAAAAATATTTACATGTAACCGCGAGTATTCGAGATGAAAAATGTTTTTCTCGAATATTTCTTGAAAATTAAAAAAGAAATAAAAAGAACTATTTTTTACTTCAGTTACGAAAGATATTTCTTATTTTAACAAAAAAGAAATTAAAATCGTATTTTTTTTTGTTGACGAATTTCGAAAAATATATTTTAAATAGACAATAGAAATCAAAATAGAAAGAACAATGTTTAATTAAAAAAATTTGAAAGACGCATAACTTTTTTTTTTAAAAAAATTGCAAATTAAGTGCTATAACTTTAAATGTCAAGAGAAAACAAAGTGGTCTTAATAATAGGTGTAGAGACACTGAGAATAAACTTTTTCTCTTATTTATATTTAATGATATGTCTAGGTATATCAGTTCAAATAATAAAAATAGAAGTTCTATATGAGGCCTCTTAAACAAATTTTCAAAGGTAATAATTGTATTTTCCTTTTTTAGTAATTAAGAAAACTTTCCGATTCTATTAGTTTAATAAGAATTATAATTAATCCTTTGAGACACGAATATTTTATGCAAGCAAAAACGATTTTTTTTTTCTATTATTAGAAACTTTACGATTCGCAAAGAAACAGAAATTATTATTTCTGAACAAATGGAAATTTTTAACTTTTTTTTTTTCAAATAAAAAAATATTTTAATAACTTATAAATAATACTTTAATAAGGTAAAAAATAATATTTAATAATAAATATTTTTTTTAATTAAAAACTAAGATTTTGAAGTAAAAAAAAAATTAACTGAATTGAAATACAAAAAATATCTCTCATTTTAAAAAATCTATAAAAAAAAAAATAAAAATTATAAATTATTTTTTCACCTGACGGAACCGGATGTTACTAAAAAGGGCATTGGCGTCGGACATGGACTTAGTGGTGAACTACTAACAGAACTTCGTGTACTGTTCAAAACCGAATGAGGACACTGCGGTGGGCCCATGTGGGAAATCAAGGTTGCATTTCCGTTTCCACTATTGACTGGTCGTCTTTTAAAACACGGAATTCTGGGCCAACTGCTCTCATTCTTTCCATGTCCATCTGAAACAATATAAATACAATTATTTTTTTTCTACAAAACATGCAAAAATTTTATTTTATTTTATTTGTTTATTACATAAATAAATAATTTAATAATTTGGAAAAAAAACACATTGTTATAAAAACAGATTTTTGAGATTTAAAAAATTAAATTTAAAACTTTGAATGTATCTACTTTAAGAAAACGAAAACCCTTTGATATAATAATCGAACGTGGTATACGAAGTAAAGGGTGTGTGAAGAACAAAGTCAAGTTCTAGCCTTGATCATTGAGCTTTTTACACTTGACAAAATTTTAAACCCTTCGATTTTTTTTTTTTTTGCTAGAATTTTACATCGCGAAGAAAATTAATTTAAAATTTATATTTTTATTGTAAAATGTGCAATAATTTAATTATTCAATTATTCTACAATACTTTTTGAACGAGAATTTAGAACAGAAACAATATTTCTGAATTTCTAAATCTATTTTATTATTTATTTCTGAACATAAAATGGGAATTTCGAGAAATTATTAAACGACAAATTGCAAAGTTTTGGACAAAGAAACAACTCTCTAATTATTGGCTTTTTTTTATCTCTAAATTTTTCTTTTCCCCCTTTTTTTTCTTTGAACTTTTCGATACTTCAATTTATTTTTTTCTATATAATATCTTTCTCTAAAAGTTTCAATCTTCAATAATTTGAAAACTTATTAAAACTTAAAAAGAAAATTTTTGCAAAAAACATTTTTTGATTCCATTTATTTTCGAAAAATATTGAACGTTCGATTAAACAAAAAAAATTCTATAAAAAATTGAAATCAGAATATTTTTAAAACATGAAGAAAGAGAGTTCAAAGTTATATTGGAAAATGCTTCAAGTACAATTCGAATGAATAAATTCTAAAAGCACTCGATCAAGAAACTGACAGGATTTTTTTTTTCCTTCACACACTCCCTCATCCTCTATTTCTGTAAAAATTGATTATACAAAAAATTGTCAAAAAATTATTATATCATTAAATATTTTTATTTAGAAAAAAAAAAATTCTCCAAGAAAAAAAAGAAAGCTTTGTAAAAATCTAACATTATTTATTTTGTAATTGATTATTGGCAATTTCCGGCTTTACACTCTCTTGTGTGAAAAATTTATACACGGTTCTCATTTTACACCTCACACTTGAAAATGGGGAGGAAAATTAATCATTCTTTATCTATGACCTTCCAGTGCTGTTGCACTCGACAGTCACTTATCCTCTGACCTGACCTTTACGAAAAGCGAATATTATATAAACGTGCAACGCATTTAATCGACCTGAATCTCCATTGGGCTATGGTCATTAATTTTTGAAAAAGGATTTATATATATAATCATACATAAGAGGAGACGCGAATGGAATATTTAAATGCAATTAAAATAAAATAAATCACCGAGCACATTTCGTAGATATTTTTCTCGCCAATAATTTGAAATATAGAGCAGGAGAAAAAAAAGTAAACGATAGATATCGAATTTTTATATAAAATCAATTTTTAATATTAAAAAATGTTTATTCAATCGAAATTTTTAAAAAATAAACTATAATTTTCCATCTTTTCATAGAAAATAATTTTTATTTAACTATGGAAATATAAAAAATTGGTATTTTTTAAATTTTATTTTTTAGAAATTGTGAATTTTCTTTATATATAAAAAAGGAATCTGTGCGATCAACGTAACGTGAAGATACAAGTTATTTGAAAGGATTATAATTCAATCCAAGTTGGTCAGAAAGTGGATATAATAAAGAAAAGTCCAGAGATTACATATACTGAGGATTATAAGAGACTGAAACCAGAAATTGAAGAGCATGAGGGTCGATCTCTCAACAGTATAGAATGTCATAGACCCCGGGAGTCACCTAGTTACCTATAACCATTTACTATATACACACACAACCGCTGCAGTCATAATGACGTCAGTGTTGCTCCCGTGGTTCCCTGGTCGATTAATTAAAGTGACGCAATGCTTCTTACAAGAATAAATTTCGCCAACACAGACAATAGCAGAGAAATGTAAATTTCAATATAATTTTATATTATCCCCTTTTTCAAAAATTTTTTTTACATTTCATTAAAACTTGCCACAAAAATTTGATAAAAAAAAATTGCGAGTATTTTTTGTACTTTTTTTTTATTTTTAAATTAATTTTTTAAATTCCTTTTTTCTCATCACAAAATTGACATTGAATATTAAATTTTCTGCAATTCAGCTAAAATGCTCATCGAGTTAATATGAAGTAAAAAAAAAAAAAAGATCAAGAGCCCGTTCTCTGATTTATTAAGTCAATTTGTCAAACTGTTTGCAATCTGTGATGGAAAATTTTTAATTTGCTTCAACTGGAATTTTTTTTTGTATGCATTATTCCATTTTATCTAGTAGTGCAAAAAAAATTTTTTTTTTAAAAAATCAAATTTTTTTTTCTTTTTGTAAATCGAAAATTTAATTTTAAGCCCGAACTTTCAGCCTAATTGAACTATAGTGAAAAAAAAATCAGTTTACTATAAAAAAAATTTTCTTTTCTCTGCTTTTTTATACGCGAGATGACAAAAAAAAATTAGGGAATAATGCTTCTTCTTCTTCTGATTATCGACAATATTGTAATATAATGATAGACTCGCCATTAGCCTGAATTCCTCCAATCCAGTTATTTAGCCTAGCCTCGTACTGAATTCAGACAAATTGGCACGAACATTGTTACGAGAAAAAAAAAGAATCTCGCTCGATGAATTGTTCAAATTTGCCAAATAGTAAAGATTGCAATTTATCGCAAATTTTCACAACGAGTTTCTTTACAGCTTTTTTCTGAACTAAGCTCCAAGGATTCAATAGATTTTCACGAGATCGACTGTTGCTGACATTTCAAATTTCTTTTTTATTTTTCATTCCCCTTCGAATAAAGAGACGAAATACATAAGCCAATTATTTTTAATTTCTCTTCTTTTTTTTCTAAACTGGTTCAAAATCCAAGATTCTGTAAAATTTGAAGTAATTTTTTTTTATTATTTTTGATAAAATAAATAGAAAACAAAGTTCAAAAAATTTAACGGGATAAGAAAATTATTTGCGTAAATAACGGATTATTAAGGAAGATTTTTTTTTTTTCGATGTAACGGATTAGCTATTGAGATGATTATAAGTCGTCGATTAACGACGTTGACCTTCGTTTATAAACTGATTAAGAAAAAGAAAAAAAAAAAAAAAAAAGGTGTTGCAATTTGTCACTTCATAATGAGGTCAACTTGTAAGACTTGAGTGCCGTGTGTTCCTAACTTTGACCTCTTTGGCGTGTCGAGCATGTAAAGGCGTGACTTTGCCATTGGTGCAGAACGAAATATCCGCGTGAAAACCAGTTACTGCACTCTTGAACGTTTTAAAATATCGCGTGTCAAGATGCAACCAACTGTAAATCGGGTTGTTCACATTACGTGAAATAAACGACCTAAAATACATTTTTTTTCATAATTATAAAAGCCTCTTCATTTGATTCCAATTATTCAAAAATATTAATTGACATTAAAAAATATTTATTCGAAATTTGTCAATTCTTTTTTTACTTTGAAAAAATTAAGTAAATAATGAATATTTTTAAAAGATTATGAATTGAAATGAAAAATTTTTAAAAATTTTTAGTGAAAATAAATAAAAATTACAAGAAATTAAAAGATATCTAGCGTGAAAATGAAAAAAAAAACATTTTATAATAAAAGATGAGAAGATGTTTCTTGACCGCAAATCATGTCTTACTTTCATGTATTTTACTTGTTTCAAAACTCGATGCAAATTATACGTCTGGGAAGTTTCCCCACAGTCAAAAAAAAAAAAAATATTTCTTTACAAATTCAAGATTATTATCGAACAATTATGGGTGGTTTCATTTTTTTTTTTTGCATGTTTTTTTTTTCATTTCTAAAAAGCACAATTATTGGTAAAAATAATCGCATGAGAAAATATTCTAAAATAAGATTCTTTTTAATTTTATTTTTTCCTTATTTGAAAACTAATTTCAATAGTTTTGATCAAATTCTATTTTTTTTCAATATTTGAGAAAAATTTGAAATATATAAATTCGAGAATTTATATTATTTTAATTGAAAAGTTTTGGAATATTTTCATTAAATAAAAATTTTATTTGAAAATTGTCAGATTTTAAAAAAATGAACTTTAATTTTCCTTCACGAGAAAAATTATATAATTTTTATGTGACTTACTGAGAATTTTGATGCCCTGAACGGGACTCAATGGATAAAAATCCCCATGCAAAGGACAATGGAAACCAACACGCCTTTCTCTTCTTCTCGCACGTCTCGTTAACATACAGAGAAATACACCCAAGGCAAGCATTAGAGCACCAACAACAATGCATATTGGTCCTAAGATCCTGGAATTTCCTGTCAAAGCAATTCTCGATGCATACGAATCCTTATCCTCATGCTGGCCAGGACCTCGATACGATGCCGCTAAAAAAAATTTAAATTATCATTAATATACTAGAAAAATTAATTTTAAAAATAAAATTACAATTTAGTATAATTTTGTGATTTTTGTAAATTTTTGTAAATTTTAAAAATTTTTGTAAATAAAAAATATTTCAAAAAAGAAAATAATTGCTCAAAAAATATTATTTTAATAAAAAAATATATTTGAATGAAATTTGCAAAAAAAAATTTCTATAATTCATTTATATAGAACATTTTTTTCTCTCGAATACAAACGTCACTTTGAAATTGAACAAAGAAATATTCTTCTCAAAGATTCTTTTATATCATATCGAACTAAATATAGCATCATTAATAATAATCGTATTCCAAGTTTTTCTTTGGAAAAATTTTTCAATTTATAATAAAAAAAAAAAAAAAATTGACGATTTTTACATAACAAAATGAATTTTATATTTATAAATTTCAGATATCATTTGACGTGAAAAAAAAAAATAACACCTTGAGCAATAAAAATGTCAAGAGATAGTTCCTTAGAGTTAAGGTACTTGAAGTGGAAGGTTTCAAAGTAATAAAATCCTTGTTTTATATACGTTGACGTCAGATTTTAAAAGACCTTTACTTTTTAAAAAATGAAAAGAAAATTTACCGGCTTCATTCAACAGCGAACATTGTTTTTACACTGATTATATTCTTCTGACAATATTTTTTACTTTATTAAAATAAAAAAGAGAAAATTTTTGTATTTTGTTATTATAATTTTATTTTATATATTAGAAATAGTAAAAAATTTATATTAATATTATAATTATTTACTGTAAAATGAGATTCTTGTTTAAAAAAAAATACAATTTTCTTGTTCCACTTTAAACCTCAATTAAACTAAATTCGCGGAGATAAGTAGAATTTCTAATTTTAATGAAAACTGGAAGAGAAAGAGAATACTGAAAGAAATTGTATAGAAAGTATTATTATAAAATGAGGGAATATTTTAAAATGAGGAAGTAATCATCAATAAAAATGTATTTTAGTAAAACCTTGTTCTTATTTCTATAGGTCTTCATTCGATATAGTATAAGAATAAGGGTACAATTTAATTTCATCAAGAAAAATCGAGAGAAGTAAAATAGTGAAAAATCAAGACCTTCATTGAAAAAAATAATATCTATATATAGTTGCAATGAAAAATTCATTTATCAAAAGCAAGGAATGTAGACCATGTCATAAGAATTTTTTTTTTTTTTTCTCACTCAATTTAGATTTTTCTCTTAATATTGACTTTTTCAAAGTTCCATTTTAAGATCCAATTTGTCTAGAATGCTTTTTCGTGCCTTTGATCTTTTCGTGTCTTTTGCAATTCTTGAAATACTTTTTTTTTTTAAATATATTGCGCGGTTAATTTTCGAAGATATTTTCTTCTTTCTATAAAGAGAAATTTTTTTTATTTAAATTTAATAAATAAAAATTTGATTTTTGAATTTTTTTTAAGAAACTAATTTTTTTCATTTCATAAATAATAAACTACAAATGTCTGTATAGATTTTCGAAAAACATTCTCAAGAGAGCCAAAAATATATAAAAGTTGTATGACCTAAATATTGAAGAGGATATATATATAGTTTCGCAACTTTACGAGACACACAGACTTGAAAATAAGTCAAATGTTGGTTCTCACAAACTCTTGGACAAATTTTCAATATAATATATGGTTTCACTGTATATAGATATTTGTCAGATTTGTTTGCATAATGTAATCAAATCAGCAACGTAACATTGTTCTTTCAGAATTAACCCCCTGTAAATCTTGTATTACGTTCGTTTTCTCGGTCACGTTGTTGCCAGGTGATTATATAATCACTCAGGAATATATAGATCCAATAATAATAATAATTGTTTCTGTCATTACCATACTCTGCTAACAATGGTCATCCTCTGAAATTACATATTTTTTTTTTTATTCGAATTTAATATGCGGCTAAAAAATTCATTAATGATTTTTAAAAACAAAAAAAAAAAAATTACATAAAACAAATATATTAAATTCAATTAAAAAAAAATATATTCTCTTCGATTTACAAAAAATCCCCAATTCGATTACATAATTTTATTTATTAAGGGAAATAAATCCTTGTCAAGAAATTAAAAATAGGCATCAAATTTTCCGAGAGAATAAAAAATTGATTGCATATTACAAAAAAAAAGAAGATAAAGGATTAAAATTAGATGAACAAAATTGATGGACGCAAATGGATTAAAATAAGGTCAATTACGGATAATAATGATAATAGAATTATTTTTAATCCTATTTCTGGCAGAGAAATTCGAGAAAAATCCAACGACTCGTAAAAATAAAAATCGAGAACTTTTTTCATTTTTTTTTTTTTTTTTTTAAATAATCGAATAATTTTAATATAGAGCACAAAAGGTCAAAGGAGACAAAATTTATTTTTGGTCCATGAATACAAAAATTGATTCTATCGAATAATATATATTTCAAGAAGAATGCTCGCGAGAAATTTTATTATTGAAAATTTACTTTTTTGTTCTGAAAATAAATTTCAATAATTTAAGTATATATATTTTCAAATGACCTGATCCGACCCGCGACTTATTACGTAATTGATATGTGTTAACATAATGAACGGATTATTCCATATCCTTGTGAATTTCGATTTTTATTTGGATTTTAGCGAAAAAGAAAAAAAAAAAGGGGAAACTGCATTTCGATATAAATTATTACTATTACTTAATATTATATTTAAAACAAATTGAAATTTTTTTTTTTTTTTTTAAAAGAAAAATTTATCAGTTAAACAAAATTTTTGCAACGAATTTAAATTTAACTTTAAAAAAAATAGCTTCTGTAAAATGAGCTGACTCTTTTATAAATTGTATAACCTGCAGATATATATTGCAATCAAATTTTGCACGATCAATCACGTTCGATTTTTTTGTTTGCATTTTTCATTAACCTCGTGTAAATATTTTGATATTGATGTTATTAAAATCTTTTACTATTTAGAAAAACTGTGAATAAATATAAAAAGCCATCAGCTTTTTTTAAATTGTATTTATTAATTATTAATTATTAATTATTAATTAAATTGTATTTTTTCTATTAAAATTTCTATAAATTTATTTTATTAAAATTCTATAATTTTTTTTTTATTTCCATAAAAAGAAATCTTAAAATTTTCTCGTTTATCGTGATTGTATAGAAAAAAAAATAGATAAATTATTAAAATAAAAATAAAATAAAAAAAAAAGAATACTAACCTGTAAGTACTGATCCAACAAGCATAAAAAGAAATCCGAATGCAGGTAAAGCAATTTGACAATTTGCTGCAATTACAACACCCGCCACCATGAGGCCACCCTCGATTTTTTCCACCCTCAATCGTGATATGGGCGTTGGACATTTTAATTTTGAGCCTAGTCCTCCATTTGGAATTCCCTCCTCCGCTGACACGGTACTAGGCCTGAAAATAAAGAAAAATTATTAATTATTTCATTCTAAAAAAATATTTTATAAAAATATTAATTAATATTTCAAATAATAATAATATTATTAATTATTATGAATAATTTTAAATATTTTAACAATTTTAATTAAATTATAAAATATTAATTTAATTCCTAGTAAATAATTAAATAATACCATAAAATTAATTTCAATAAAAAAAAAAATATCCTCACAAGAAAAATATTTTCCTTTTGAATTATTTTATTCTAGTTCATATATTGTGATTAATAATTAATTATTTTTAAATAAAAATTAATCAATTTGATGTCAATATTAAAAAAAAAGGAAAATGTAGTTTATATTTGAGACTCAAGTGAAAGTATAAAAATATGGAGAAAGTGTGACAATAAAACCGGTTACATTGTGTGAAAATTTTTAATGAAATCAAATTGAAGTTTGTATTAGAACTTTCAATTTCAATTTTCTATAAAAATATAAAATTATTATTTTCTGTAAAAAATAAAAAAAATTTTCATTTTTTTTTTAATCAACAAAAATATATTTTTTTGAAAAATTTTGTTACTATAATAATTATTAGAATAAATTTATGAAACAAATTTTCTATAAATTTCTCTGTCAATTTTATCATTATAGTAATTTATTTTCCTTTCGAGTCTGTACTTGACAGTTTGATTGCACAAAAAAAAAAAACATTTGCATTAACATTTTTTTTTTTCACTGGACAGACATTATATTATAATCATATTACTATTCAAGATGAATGTCAAGGTTACTTTCCTATCATTTATTCAGATAATAATTTGCAAAATACTTTCATTGCACTTTGTGTAATTAATTTTTATTGCAAATAAATTGACAGAAAAAAACAGGATGTTCATTATCAATCAGTTTCCGGTTCAAGTATATATTTTAATTATATATATATATACGTGAAGATAATAATTAAATAATTAATACTAGTGTACAAATATTTTTACTTTTATTATTATAAATAAAATAAATAAAAAATGAATAGTAATTTATTAAATAAAATCGATATATTGACATCAATTTTCATCTCAATTAAAAAACTTATTTTCATAATGTAACATTATTTCATTTTTTTATTGCAAAAAAAAAAAATTATTCGACTTGTCAAATTATTAAAAAAAAAAAAATTAATTAAAAAGAAAAACACTTTACTTTGTCAAATTATGATACATTTTGAATAATAATTATAAATATTTATTTTTCACTAAAAAAATGTATTTTTAAACAAAACAAAACAAAAAAAAAAAATACACATATCACTATTATTCATTCGTAGCGTTTTCGTGGCGCTAAACGACTGTTACATATTCCTTTGCATGGAAAACAAGTACGTCGTGAGTATTGTAAATCAAAAGATAAAATTGAAGGATATTTGGGTAACTGGATACAAATAATTGTGCAAATTTGTGACATTTCTAAAAGATAAAAAAAAACCTTGTCTTTTCCACGTATTTTTTTTTTTTTTTGCAATAAATTTTTTTTTAATGAATGACCAATTTTATCTTTTATCACCGATCTAACTTCAAAATTTTTTTATTGTCAAATTTGAAATTATAATAATTTTAATAATAAATATTAAAGTTAAAAAAATATTTGCTAATAATAATATTAAAAAAAATTACAAAATAAAAACTTATAAGTAAAAATAGGAGAAAATAATTTTTTTTTGGTTTTTGAAAATTAAATGTCTTTAATGAATTTATTGATTTTTTTTTTAATAAAACATATTCTTTGAATTATAGGGACAATGTATGGAGAATGATCATTGATCATTGTTATACAACAAGAACGAGTATCACTTGTACCAATTTACAAAATAAATAATCATTCGTATCAAGGTTCAACCGTTCATATGGTATTATATTGTTAACGTATGCATATTTTACCAGACATCCTAATCAACTATATCGTTTATATCCAACTATTATTTCATGTTATTCGCAAAATGAGGGCACTACTTTGTTGCAAAAAATCAGTAAAAAAAAATTATATATAAAACCACAAATTATAACTATCAATCACAAATATAGTAGATTAATTTAGATTTTAATCTATGTACATGATTAAAAAATTAACAAGATAGTAAAAAAAATTTTTTAAATAAATATATAAAAAATTATCGACCTAGAAATCAACCTTATCGACTGATGGTAAAAGAATTTTTGAAAAATGAAAAATAAAAATACCGACACAGAAATCTACCTTACCAACTGATGGTAAACAGTTTTTTTTTTGAAAAATGAAAATATACAAATTACCGATACAGAAATCTACCTTACCGATTGATGGTATGACGCCTTTTTGAACGTAAAAATATAAAAATTACCGACATAGAAATCTACTTTAAGGACCGATGGTAAAACACCTTTTAAACATAAAATATAAAAAAAATTACCGACATTTTTTTTATATATTTTCATTTTTCAAAAAAAACTGTTTTACCATCAGTCGGAAAAATAGATTTCTATGTCGGTAATTTTTATATCTTTATTTTTAACTACTGTTTTACCATTAGTCGGTAAGGTAGATTTCTGTGTCGGTATTTTTGTATTTTTATTTTTCAAAATTTTTTACCATCAGTAATTATTAAGAATTATAATAATAACAATAATAATTAAAATATTATTAATATTATTATTTTAACGAAACAAAAATAATATTTATTATGAAATTAAATAAATATAAGTATTATAAGTAATTAGGCAAATATTATGATTTAAAAAAATACTTTTTATTTATCATGAACAAAAAAAAATCTTTATAATATACGCAAATCATATTTTCATGATAATGAGAAACAAATTCATTTATTGACTTTTGTGTGATAAATCATAAATACTTGAATGTTTTAAAATTTATGTCAGTGTGATGCAGATAAATGAAACAATTGTCAATGTTAATATATACATATGCGCATTTTCTGTACAAATATATTTAATAATTATTTAATAGTTTTAATAATTATTTAATATTTTTAATGGTAATTAAAATTGTAGGTTTATTTATTTTTTTTTTATTAATAATTGAGAATTAAATGATTGTACTTAAGTTAAATTACTTATAATGAAGGTATAATTATTTTAATATATGCGCTTCATATGAATAATACTTTGTCGCGGCGCGCGTGTGAATATTTCTTTGAGTATAATCAAATTAGTGCAAGCTCTTTGTGTCTAAGGATCTTGCCCTATGAGTCACAGACAAGAGAACGCGTATATACGTTCTTCGCGTGGAGACTCACAACAGACAAGTATATATATATATATATGTATATAACTATTTAAACAAATACACTTCGAAGAAATAAATTTTGTTATATAACACATTCAGTTACATGAGAAAAATCGATAAAAATTTAAAAAAAAAATGTTTTTTTTAATTTCAAAAAAATAAAGATTTTTTTTTTGAAATTTTTTAGAAAAGATAAAATTGGTTTCAAAAATTGTATCAATAAACAAAGTATATGTCTGTAAAAAAAGAGAAAAAAATATTTTAAAAAATATAGAGAGAAAGAAAAGAGTGAAAAAATACAATAAATATGAAGAAAAAAAATAGAAAAAAATCTGAAGAAAAAATACAATAAAAATAAAAGCAAAAAAAAAAAAAAATTGGAACAATTTCTATATACGTATGAGAAATTTTATTTACTCTCCAAGAAAGTATCATTAGAGATTTGAAAGCCAAAGAAGAAATAAATGTCTGAACGAGAGTAAAGGATTTATTCTATATAACCAAAGTTACTTTACCATTTTAGATTTGATGCACTTTAAGGAGTAATAATACTTTTTCTTCATGAACTTAAGCCTTTATCCAATATAGACATTTATTTCTTCCTTATTTACTTCATTTGAAATATCACGACATTTGAAAAGTATTTAATGTATAGGAGGAGGGGAAAAAAGTATATCTCTTCATACATTCTACTGATGTAGCATAAGTTCTTGAGAATAAAAAAAACATTTTAAATTCTTTCACTAAGCGCAAAGAAATGATAAAAAATATTAATTTATCATTTTTAATTTAATTACGCATAATATAAAAAAATTACCGACACAGAAATCTACTTTACCGACTGATAATAAAAAAATTCCTGGAATTTTCTCAAAGAATTTTACCATCAGTTGGTAAGGTAGATTTCTATGTCGGTAATTTTTTTATATTATGCGTAATTAAATTAGAATTCGTGCAATTAAAAATTCAAACAAATGAAAATTGGGTGAATTAGACATTTTTATATATTTTTTATATAATATATTTTTATATATAAAAAAATGACATAAACCCATATATAAAAGCAATATATCTTTATATATGTGTATATAAACGAGTGAAGATTATTTTTTAAAGGCCATTAAGCTTAAGCATTTAGCTTTTAGAGATAGATATTTGCATATATGACAAAGCTTGAAAACGTCAACGTCGTTTGACGATGAAAAGATAGAGTAAGGTTGCAGTCAAGGCTCTTTATAGACGAATCACGTTAAATCTGATCACGTTTCAGGTTATTGAACTTAATATTTGTCATGCACACTAAAAGGATATATAGTAACTTCAAAATTACAGTTCAGCGAACATGCGTTTTAGATTATTTTAATATATATTATATTCTCCCGAACAAAATCGCCATAATTATATAAAAAAAAAAAACATATTTTTTCTAGGATAAATTTTAATTTTGAATCAATTTTTAATTATTTAAAATAACAATTTCAAAAACTATATAAATCAATTCCAATACCAAAAAAAATTTTAAAAACCCCATTTTTTTAAAATAAAATTTCTATAAAAAAGAAAACTCACATTTTTTTTCTACATTATTATAGAAAGCACAACACATACAGTTTATGCACGCAATGTTAAATTGATTTTTTTTTTCTCAACATTTTACAAATAATAAAGTTTATTAAAGTCAATGACCGGTTTTTCTCTCTGAAACGTCAATTTCATATATATATATATATATAA